CTCTCTTTCTTCCCCCCTCTCTGTCCTCTCTCTTTCTTCTATCCCTTCTTTACCTTTATTCTTGCTTTCCCTCTCAAGGGTAAGCGCGCGCGAGAGTGTACGTTGATTCCATCGCGACCGTCGCGAATGATGCTAGAGCATAAACCAAGTCCGCTAAAGGGGATTAGCCTCGGTGGTCGAGATCCCAGGATCCCGGCATAGTTTCGATGCACCGAGGGTGTCGACACGACAGGAAGATAAGTAGAACGCGGATAGATGCCGGAGTTGACGGATGAATCGATTGTTTTCGAAGTTACTGGAAAAATGTTGATGAGGAAAGATGAGATTGCTCGAATGTATTGGTTGACAGACAAACATAATTATTTACGTGCTTTGCATTGTATGTCGATTAAAGATTTTGTAAGAAAAGAGGCATGCAATTATCTTTGCAATTCTTGAATAGAAATATTCGAATTTTACATACTGTAAAAAATTGTAATATCTTGTTGTAATTGTAATATCTTGTATCGAATAAACGATAATTAATTAAATTAATAAGTATTTATATAATAAATCTTTTTTTCTTAATTTTAAAAAAAATTTAACTACAAAAATTAACTACAAAAAATTATATCTTGTACTTATTATAAATTAAATATTAATTTAAAGATATGACAACCAAGTATAATATAAATTAATGAATTTTAGTACACTTTTTGTACTATAAATAAATACAATTTATTTATAGTACAATTTATACAATTTTTAAAAATTTAAATATGTTATTGAGAATAATTAGTAAAAAAGCTGTTAGTTATATGTCATTATGTTTTTGTTTCTTAAATCTTGAATAATATTCAGAATTGAATCTAAGCATAAATTACAGGCAACTCTCTTGCCAACAGCTGTTTGCTGACAAGATTACAAGAAAATCACGCAAGGCGCTTCAGACAGACGATACATGTAATTGAAGAAATATGAAACATTAAATTTCAATAGTCTCTCTCTCTTTCTCTCTTTCTCTCTCTCTTGAAGGACTCTTCATATTATTATTTAATAAAATCTATTCAATAATAAATTGATAATTTGTCTTTATGTTTCTATATAAGAATAATTTTTTCGAAACTATTGTTGGTAATCTCTTTCTTCAAACTATCGAGGCATGAAAATGCAGTGATTCTACTTTTGCAGTTGATAATAATACCGGCTTTTGCATTTACTATCGAATTTTTACTCGTCTTAATAGTATTTTAGTCGAGAGAAGAGATTTCTTGTACAGTTCTGTGTGCATTTTTTAAAAAAAGTACTTAAATATTTAGTACGTATAATATATAATATAATCAAAAATTTAATGTCAATCATAAGTGCTTAGAAAACAGAAAAAATATTATTTTTATAATATATTTTCTTTTATAATATATTTTATTTCTCTTCTTTAAGTTTTCAATCTTAGTATTTTTAAAATGTAAGAATTAATTTTAATTCATAATATTTCAAAATCGATTGATTTGACATAAAATAATTGCAATTACGAGATGAATACCCAAAGTATAATCAATAAAATTTATTTATTCATCAAAGTTACTCATTGATATTATGTAATAATAGCATGGTTTGGATAAATTACGTTAATAATTAATATCTACATAACTATATCTAATAACTCTGATTAAAGTTCTCATTATGCAGTGAAACTGCAATTAACAATTCGTAATCAGCCATAAATAACAAACTTAGCAAGTACATATAATCTAATCATTAGATATATAGCATTTTCCTAACCATTATTCTGTAATTATAACTCATAATTAAACGATTCCTATTATTTTACATATATCGTGTAAAATTACTTATTACTTGAAATATTTTATGTGATTTGTGATATAAACAGTATAATATACTTAACGTGGAACATCATTATTATTATAAATGTCCACGACAAAGTCCAGGAACACGTAACAAACAAGATGAGTGACAGAGAGAGAGAGAAAGAGAGAGAGAGAGAGAGAGAGAGAGAGAGAGAGAGAGAGAGAGAGAGAGAGAGAGAGAGAGAGAGAGAGAGAGAGAGAGAGAGAGTCAGGGATTCAACATTTTCCTTCATATATACGAGGTCGTTTACTCATTGTTATAACTTCCTTAGAAGCCATTACAAAGACGCGCGCTCCTCCATTCTAAGATAATTCGGCTGACACAAAGCACACAGCTACCCAAAGTTCACGGAGAGAGAGTGAGAGAGAGAGAGAGAGGGAGGGGAGGAGAGAGAGAGAGAGAGAGAGAGAGAGAGAGAGAGAGAGAGAGAGAGAGAGAGAGAGAGAGAGAGAGAGAGAGAGAGAGAGAGAGAGAGAGGAGAGAGAGAGAGAGAGAGAGAGAGAGAGAGAGCGGGCAATTTGCCATACGCTACATTAAATTTCACAAAAGCGGGAAGCGCTTGCCACACCAACGTAATCACTAATCAAAACTATGTTTCTAGAGCGTGTCAGGCATCGCGTTCATTCTCATACCATTTAGAGCAACATCGAATACAATTACCTACCTACTCAGTATGCTAATTACTGCAAGATACCAGACGAGGTAATATATCGTCATCTTGCTTGCGCCATTTCGAGATGGTCAAGGCTGAGATTCTCCTTCTTGCCTCCCAACAAAACAATGCGCTCATAAATACGCGAGTACCGACAGATAAATCGCGAAAAAGAATTGAGATGCAAATTTTTGCGCGCTTTAATCTCCAATCTTGTTCTCCATTAACATTTTCTAAGGGCTGAAAAAAAAAATGAATTATTACAACGAGACCAATTGTTTCACAGCTGAAATGTTCATAAATATTAATGACATGAGAAAGAAAGTAATTCTGTCGTGTGGCACATCCATTAAAAAACAGTGAAAGCACGTACAAATCTATTCATTCGTCTCGGCGATTATCGCGCGACGACCGGCAAGTGGGTCTCTTGCGGCGTTACGTTACGTCGGAATGGTCAAGGCTACGTCTGAGACGGATGGGAGGGTACGAAGAATGAGCGATGTTTTGTAGAAAGCAGGTATACAAGCAGGAAGGGAAAGGTTGCACCTGGCAACTCCAAGATAGAACTCGAACTCACGCCTCATAGGCGCGTCTCTCTCTCTCTCT